ACTGTTCTTGTTAGAATCGTAGAGGACCCAACTCTCACCTCCCGTAATCATGCCTTCCAAAAACTCCTTTCGGTGCGGACAAAGAAGGAGAAACTGACAAATGGGTACCCGCCTGAACCGCGTGCTATCGGTCAAGACATGAGGGATCCATCGAGTCAGCACTTTCCTGTGGCGAGGGCGTGGAGGGGACCGAGGACTGTGGGATGGGTGCACCCGAGTCTTATCACAAGGCTGCGGGTGCTAACCTCCGGATCCTCTTCGACAGCGCCGAGAACGGTGGAGTCTTCCACTGTTTGGGGGCTTCCCAACCTTGTCTTGTCTTCGGAAGCCGTGTCTCCTCCTTCGAAGCCTGCGAACCAGAGCTTGGCACTGATGATGGAAGTGGTGTCCCTTCCCAATGCGATGCTGATAATGTTGACGGTTTCCACTGCTCCTGTGCCGCAGCGCCATTCATTGAAGATGATCGCTCGAAAGTGCTCTTGTGGAATCGACATCATGATTAAAGTTAAAGAAGGCAACCCGGCTATATATACCTACTGCGGAGAAGTATGATCGACAGCGATAATCTATCACGTAGCAGATTCTAGGTATCGATCAATAAGCGAAAGTTCTGGAGCTTTCGAAAAATCGGCTCAGGACTTTCTTACCATCCCAAGTATAGGACCCAGCTCTGCCGAAAAAATCTTTGAGTGTATTGGTGACAGCACACCCCCTTTGCGGGACTCCACTCAAAGCAGGAAAAATGTCAAAATAGGACGAATTAGTAAGGACTTGGGATGTTCTGCCAGTAAGAAATCCTTCAGCCATTTGTATACTTTCCAATGGAATCCCAGTTTACTCGATTTGTTTAACAATTCCTTGTGACTCACTTCATTGATAGCTCTTGTAAAATCAAGATTGTTTACATCTACATATTTTTACCACGGGACTGCATTGGTACGGAACAGGGCCATTGATAATTTTACAGTTCACCGTGGGAAACTCCGCAATTCTCGGTGGCGCCCATCAATAGCATTTGACCCCATTCCTTCGCCAACCTTTATCCACTTTTCCCAGCCTCTGGGCTCTCTTTGAACTTACCTATAATATCATGACAAACCCCACCGGACCCCAGTCACCGATGGTAGTTGACCTCCTCACTGTTGACAACACAATCCACTTTTTCCCGGTCTCCAGGACTTCTTGGAACCGAGTTATGAATTTTCGTCGCAAACTCCGCCCACTTTGGTCATGCCCGCCCACCAACAGCAGTTGGCCTCCACTCCTTCACCCACCTCTATCCAACTTTTCCCGGCCTCCAGGACTTCTTGGAACCGAGTTTTGAGTTTTCGTCGCAAACTCCGCCCTCTTTGATGCACATCGCACCCACCCATTGCAGTTGAACTCCCTTCCGTTAACAACCTCAATCAACTTCTTTCCCGGTCTCCAGGACTTCTTGGAACCGTGTTATGGATTTTCGTCGCAAACTCCGCCCACTTTCGGACATGCCCCGCCCATCATTGACATTTAATCCTCCACTCCTTCTCCGAGCTCTATCCTACTTTTTCCGGCTCTCTAAGACCCTTGGAACCGAATTATGAGGACTTGTAGAAAACGCCGTCTAGTTCACGACACGCTAAATTCACGCATGTATGCTAGAAACACCCATTGCTTCCCTACACCAATTTGTTTTCTGCTCTGTAGGCTTTCTCCCAACCGAGTTAAAATTTTTTCATAAAGCACTGCTTTTTTGGAGAACGCCCCGCCCACCGGGGTGGGTCTCCCTAATTCGATGTGACTTACCAATGCACACCTTACCCACTTTTTGGCCCAGTTTCGAGGTTGTTTTGTCACTGAAATCTGAAATCTTGGTCTTCAGTACAGTTCATTTCGACGCACGCCACGCCCACTGTGGGCGGGGCTCCGCTTAGCTGATGTGTGTTTTGTACTTCTGAGACCTTGCCCACCCATCCCACACTTGACCCGGTCTCTCCAGCGGATCCCAAGAAGCTAGGGATTTTCGTGACAGACAGACAACGTGACAAACACACATGCAGGCATAGCGCATTATATATCATCAGGATCATCCAAGGCTGAAGTCCAATCATTCAGCGATTCTCGCAAATTCGTAACCACGGACTGTCCTTTCGGAAAATCCGGTCGGGTTGCTGGAATAATGTTGTTCTGCTCGAGGTGATGGAGAATATGGGTTCTTTCAACAATTTTTTCAAAGAGCATGGAGAGAAAGGACGTTATATAAGTTGGAGATATTCGAAAGAGACGCATTTTGGCGCATTTTGGAATAGGTGTAATATACAAGTGCTTCCAAAGCCGGGGCGCTTGCGAGTGCATGATAGATGTTGATGTCCAGGGACCTGCGATTGTATCATCATGATCAATGCTGCAATTCCAAACTTTTACAAAGCACGATCAAATGCTTCGAAATCTGTCCGAGAACAAGATCTTGCTAAAAGCATTAGCATTCAAGTTTTTTTTAGTTGAAAAAAGTTGCAATCTTGAATAATAAGATTTCAGAGATCAATAAAAGGTATTGATCTCAAATTATCATTAGAAATCTGGCCCTTTTTTCACGAGAATTTGGATTCTCATGAGGATGTTGAACGATTGCACTTTAATAACTGTATGAGAGTTTCTTATATAATATACTAGATGGGCTTGTGTGTGGTTTATGGTGTTGTGTTCAGGATATAAGGTGCTGGACGAGAAGGCGCTTGTGAATTTTTGGGTCCGCAGTCTTAAATGTTGCAGTAAGATTTTTGGTTGATTCGAGTTTCGAAGTAAGTGTAATGTATCTTTAGGGCAGAAAGAACATATGTTTAGGGATCAAGTGAGGATGATGAATTCTATTGTATGTTCAAGAATGTGGCAGAAACATCACGAAATGTGCACTGAGGAAACCTGACTCGAAGGATCGAGTGCAAAAATGCGGAAAGAGATTTTTTTGGAAATTCGGAACGCACCTTATTCTAGTGCTTGATAATGTCAAAAGGAACGCGGGGAAGTGATCGCTATCACCGATTGGTGACTTAACAGAAACATTGTTTATAAGCTCGGAGTCATTGCAAAAGGTCTAGGAAGTCTAATTCCCTGGTCGATTTGGTGAATATACTGCCTAATAGGGACAGCGATAGCCGCGAGATCACTAATGATAGAGTTGGCTAGTAGGGCATTAGTGAGATAGCATATGATGTAGAAGGGATCTGTAGACACAAAAATTAAACGCAATAATCGACCAGCAAATGCTAATTCTGGTAGCAGTGATTTGTATCTTTGCTAAAGAATTGATAAGCCAATTGTAAAATTCAAGTTTCATAGGACATGAGCCAACCCACTTCCAGCTCTGCCGCTCCGGTCACAACGAATATTCTCTATAGTTCTGAATCAAGTTGCTCAGCATGGATGCCACAAGATGATGCTCCTTGAACCGCGTTTCCGAGAAGAGTTAATACAAGTCATACTCATGATATATAGAAAGTAGATCAAGTAAAGGGCATCTTAGGAAAGGATCTGAGATTTCAATAAAAAAAATTAGAGATAGTAGAACACGAATAGGAAGTACGACATCTATTAATAAAACACCGAACGAGGACCTCCTAAGTTCCCTGGGAGGAGGCAGTAGAAGGCATAAGAGTAGAGTCAGTGTCAACAAAACTGTTGCGCGACAGTCTCGGGGTAGCATATGGACGTTAGCTCATCGAAGCGAGCATTCCTCTTGCTTTCAAAACTCGAATCCCGAGGTAGCTCTAGTTCGGGAGAAAACCGTGATGTGAACGCTTTTGCGAACTATCCAATGCTGGAAGTAGGGGTAGAGGGAATAAACTTTGGAAGTAATGTGATTCTATACTGGCAAGATATTTGTGCGTCCTAATTGGATATTTACTGCTGTAGGGGCACATTTCGACTTTCTTATATTGCATTTCCCAAGCTCGGAGATCCCACCTTTAACAACCGATCTTAGACGCTCCGACTCATGACAATCGATAATGCTGGGATGGATAGCATTAGCAGAGCGGACTCCAATAATTTCAGAACCGTTTCAGCGAAGCAATACCTAATTTTGGCGAAGAATGGAATTTTCTTGCGGAATTGACTCTTTCACGCTTGAAATCGTCCAATTCCTTGATAAGAGCCCTGAAAGCCGTCTTGGCGGGTACCAGCGCGAAGGCGTATAACAACATATAACATAACACATACATGTACAACTTCTTCCGGGTAGAGAGCCAGTGGAAGTCACTGGGCAAGATCTCTTGGCCTCTTTGAAAACACTTTGAAATGGTGTATTAAACATCAAGAATAAGAAAAACGAGCATTATTCGACAAGATACTTGCTGACCTGCTTCAGCGACCCAAAAAGTATAGATCACGGAGTCGCTCGTGATCTGCGTGCGCTCAATCGAAAAATCAAAAGCAGCTGGACATGCAGAATGCAGGATCAGCGGAATGCAGAACGAATAGCTAACAGCGACTCGAACGAACCAAGTATAGGCAAGTGGCTCCGAGTATGGTTATCAGAACACAAAGAAGCCATACGAGTCGAAATGCACGAAACTGCACGCTCGCGGGCAGGGCAGAGATCGGCATGAATGATTCAAGTTACTGAAAACAGCGAATCAGAAGATATTCTCAATACAGCTGTCACTGCGACACTCCTGATTACTATTCCAGTCGACGTGCACTGGGCATTCTTCGCAATAGCATTCCGAAAGCTGTCGTCGTTCTTCTCGGGCCAGTACACATCGCTTCATCTTACGAGCTGCATATAAATCTTCCCAGGTTTTCTTACTAATTGACTAGCGACACTATGAACAACTAACTCTTTTTATTTGCATGCTCAAATTCAGATGCACTTTTTCCGTGACCGAGTCTCCGAGTGTAGTGGTTTTAGAAGGCATATAAAAATACTAAAATCATTTCGGATTCTTTTAATTACTCTTTTCTTAGAAGCAAGCCCTGGTAGCCGACCCAATAGAACTACCGCGTTCACTCGTGGCTTAGTATTATAGTTCCATATCCCCTCTGCGGGTCATACCCCCTTTGTGGGTATGGAACTTCCACGCCACGAGTGGACGTGCGTAATAACTTCGTACCTGCAGAAGTCCGTGCGAGAAAAAAAAAGAACCATCAAACCAAAAAAAGAAAAAAAAAAGAAAACCTTCACCGCCAAAATGCGCGATAGAGTCACTAATCGTTACGGCTTGTGAAACACTGACACAGCGTCCCGCACACTGTGGCTGTTACAAAGATCAACCATGACGGCCTCCGCTACACGCAACGTTGTTTGCGACGTAGCAGTCTATTGCACCCCAGAATAAGTGAAGGATCGGAAGGGAGCATTCGATGCAACCACGAACACAGACTCGTGCGAACACGCTCTTGCCATCCTAGCATAAACTACTGCTTAAAGAGACGGGAGCCTTCAGGGTGTTCGGGACGTAACTGCTTTTTGCTCTCTTTTTCTTTCACTATCACCTCCCCAGTTCAGTATTGATACTGTCCTTCAAATACCTCTTTACGCCCAAGGCTCCCTCTAAGCTAGTTATAGCACTAAAAATGTATGGCCGATTTTCTTCTCGAATAGGTCGCAGTTCGTCTTGCCACAACAGTCGCTATACGCTCAACGACGCTATTTTTTTCATTTGCGACCATACTGCCTAGCAATGGTTGTGGAACAGAGAGTAAACCCATGTGGGTGAGGAGAGTCGTATATGGGAGATACGCCGTGTAGCCATGCTTGGATAGCTACATAGCATGGACAAACTTCACTCGGGGGGACCCTCTCTCTTGCCCCTCATTTGCGCATTAGTGTTGTCTCATCGTGGACGTCGTCGTCCACGTAACGATCTCTCTGCTAGCAGATAAGCCGAGGTTGAGTGCGCGAGCAGGCGGCGACTGCGCCTCGAGCTAGCAAAACATGCGTTCGTTCATCGAGAGTTGCGCGCCCCATACATGGTCTAGACACAACACTCACATTTGAAACTGAGTGAACACTGAGGGCCTACACAACATGGATAATAGCCATCACGTTTTGCGCGAAAGAACTGATGTTAGCTTTTATCAGCTCACGCATACTCCTAAGTGGACTTTCAAATGAAACAGCGATTAGGAGCGCGGCCTAGGCGTGACGCACATTATGGCAAGTGAGGTCAGTGAAGCGTATACTCCTCGTTTCCCAACACATCCGACGTCCAACATAAAATTGATTCTAAACGAAGTTACGGCCATTGAAACCTGAGAAAAACTTGCCATTTTGAGCGAATGGCTCGAAGACACTCTTCCCAGAGAAAGTCCCAGCGAGACAAATTTTTGAACTGGTAACTTTGAATAATTTTCATCACTTTTAGAAGGCTTGAATCTTGAAGTTTGTAATGCTGGGTTCAGCTTTCCAAATCAATAACTTTGAAAGCTTTGAAAGCTTAAAGCTTGACTTTTTTGAGCAATGAGAGGATAGATGAGGATCATTTAGAGAGAGGATTATTCCGATTTTTTCTAATCAGAAGACCTTTTGCGCAGAAACTTGAATTTGAAGAAGTTGTGACGCTCGAAAGAGGAAGGTAGAAACTGCATTGTAATTTTTTTCTTCCTAAATAACCTCGTATTTTGTATGTTGGAGATTAGGTAATCAGTACCGGTCAGAAAAGTCAACGTCTTCGCTGATCCAAATCCACCTCGACCTCCCGAAGTACCTAAAATTCAACAAGGAAATGTTCGTCTAAATTTCAGTATCCTCGTACGTCGCCTGTTCACGGTCAGCAAACGGGCTTCAGGACGCCCAATGAGCGCGATTCAGCACTTTCGAAACGCGATTCATATACGTTTCAGTACTTTATTCTAGCCAGAATTTTCAAATTGTAAGACAGGCAGCTCGGTGCCAAGTAAGTTGGGGCAAAAAATTTTTTCAAAAAGTACCAACAGGGTGGACCCTGCCCAGACGGCCATACTTCATCGTCGAGCATATCATTCGCTGCGGATTGCATGTCGATCCGTATACTTAGGTCGAAAGTCTGCCTTTCCACTAGGTGAGCTCCCTTTCTGCGACCTCCGACATCATCATCAAGCCTTCTTTCAAGAGATCAGGGTCGAATGATTGGCTGGCGTCTAGATTGCACTAAAACGATTGACATCTATTCGGAGAATGAGAGCGACGGGGGAAAGCTAGAAGGTTTGAAGAAGAGAACTTGCTCTCAGTTTTGTCCTCTGGGCATTCGTAGTGTTCAGTACTTCATAAGCTATTCAGTTTCTGCTCTTGTTGCGGGCTAGGAACATGTCGTAGATTAGCCCAGAGATACAAGAATGGCATACAAAACTGAGTCTGTCCTGCCACATAAGGACATCGGACACCAACGTTGAACCTAAACGACAAATCGCCGTCGTATCCATGTTTGTTCTTATAATTGTGCTAGACGATGCCCCTCATTACTTGTACTATACGTTTCAGGCCGCGATGCCATTGCTTAGAATCTGTGTCCACGAGAAAATACCGAACGCTGGTCGGAAAATGGCGTGAAGTTTTCGTTCACGTTCAGGTGAGTCGAAAAGCTCAGAAAAAGAACAAAAGGATGTAGAAATGTCACCTGTATCACCTCTCGCCCAGCGGTTCATTAGGTTCCTCAAAAGGGCGTCAAAAATCGCTCCGCCCGTTCCTTGTTGTTTTCTCGCACACTTTATTGCATAGTCCTCTACAAAAAAACGAAGCTCTTCATTTCTTTCGTAGACATGCAACTTCAAACAATCTCGCCTCGTTCACCAATGTACAAAATGTTTTGTTATTTGTTACAATGTGCTGAATGAATAAACGCTCTATCATACAGCAGCTCCGTATTCAGAAACCAGTTTGGCACAACATTACGCTATCCCGCGCACAACGCGGGTTCTTGGCATCTGAATTTGGCAACCAAAAATCTAGGTCTCACCATTAGCTCTAGTTTAGTATTTGTATATTATAGTATTAGTAAATGACCATTCTTTTTTCACTCCTCCTCATCAGTTTTTCCTTGATCTTCGCGCAATCTATGAAGCAAATTATGAGATTAGAGTTTTAGCTCCGCCTCATTTCAGTGTTCACTTTGTAAACCGTTGATGCTTCACCTCCCTTCCATTGCCAATCTCTAGCCACTTTTGCCGATCTCTGTCTCGTCTTCGAACTGAGCTAAAGGGTTTCGTTGAAGCTTCGCCCGCTCACCAGCAGGTTTGAGCACTACTCCTCCGCTTGTGTATGTCCACTCCTTCTCTGTTCTGGTTTGCATACCTTATTAAACTTATATTTTCAAGGAATTACCACCAATCTAGAGAACGAAACGGCCACAGCGATGGCTTCTGTTGCTAGAAACTAACAAAAGCTCAGAGTTTCTCGTGAACAAGATATTTGTATGTACGTGGAGACCCAGCTGATAAGTGTGTCGTACATCCCCACCCATTTCAAGCATTATCTGTTTTTCCAGGTGGTTTTTCAGATCTACCGACTTGTGTGACAGATAAACGTTTTATATTTTAAATAGGATGGTGCGCTAGTGGCACATAGTCACTGGCTTACTTCAACTTTCTTCCTTGTTTATAGAATGAGTTCAACAGCTTGCACCACAAAACATTTGGAGTTTTGGCAATTCCTCGACTTCCAATTCATTCCAGAGATCCGGAGTCTCTACTAGTACCAGGAAAGACGCTACTAAACAGGTATGAAAACGTAACTTCACGAAATTACTCACATCATATGATACCAATTTAACTTTGCACGCTATCGTGCCAATCATACTCAAGGCCCCACCCTCAGTGCCACTGCGTAACCTGTAGAATATCAGCTAGAACACTCCACGAAACCCTACTATTGGATACTTTAGCAGTATACATACGTGCATAATCCACAGGTTCCCCAGTCTCACTGAAGCGAGCCGTGTGGTGCGCGTGATAGTGTGCGGAGCCTACGTGGCACCTATCATAACTCTGTGAACATCAGGATTGGTGTTGAATTCAGATAAATTAGCGGCTGCTGTTGAAAATCGTGTCAAGGACATGGTCGCAGCAGCACGACCCTCCTCGTAAGATCGGCGTCTTGATATGATCCCCCTAACTTTGATTTGATGTGAATGAATGAGTTCCATTATGTTTACTTTGATGTATCTAATTGCAGCGAAGTTTATCCCTGGCTCAAATAATCAAATCTGTAGCCCCGCGTCAACCTTGGAAATCTAGCCCCTCTTTGAAAAGCTACCATTTTCCATTTTTATGAATTTTTGAGAGGTTGTGGTAGATTCTAGGCTTCCCGTTACCAAACAATACTAAATGCTCTGGAAGCCCTCTGCTCGGGGAGGCAGTGCCTCTAAACACGGTGCGGCGACCTCAAGCGCGTCCGAGAAGGCGAAATCTTTGTGGGGAGTTTGATTATTAAAAATCATATATCTTTCCGATTCTTTGAGAGAGTGAATAAAAGGACACATTCAGGCAGAGGAAAACTTGCGCTTCCAAACTGTCTATTTAGCTTAATTCAAATTTCATAGTTACGGAGATATTAGCGTCGAAGTTCTATCGAGGACGATTTTCGGTCACTCAAAAGGCAATGTGTTCTTTCTTCACAAATGCAAGCTGATTCGTGGGCAATTCCCGAAGGTTCTCTAGAATAAACTCTCCAACGTGAGCGATAAAAAAGGGGCAATTGTTATAGGCTCATTTTTTCTCGGTATAGGAACCCTACGATTACGACCCCCTATTACCCACCGTGACAAATACGATCGCCCTCTGTCGAGGACTTCCTCGACCGATATTCACCCTGCGGTTACCGCTGCGGTTGAGAAGCTTTCCCCGTTATTAGGATGAATGAATTCAACGTGCTCAATCATAGGTTTCTCATGCTTATCTTTATGGATAACACTTTAGCACTATTCAAGAATCCCCATATTTAAGGGGTTCAGTAAATGCTGCTGCTCTCGATATCAATGTGTAAAAAGTGGGAATATTCCTATTCTTTATGTTTCTGCTTCCAGGTCAGCCTTGACAATGGAAGTCTAATCTTAAGATTCAGTGAAAGAGATCTATGGAGATCATCCTACTATATATAAGCGGCTAGCGTGTGTCTGTTGGTGTGTGTGTGTATGTTTGACCGGAAATTCATAGCTCGAGTCACAGTAACGATAGCGCAGTGGTTCTTACATATGTTATAGGGGGTGGGATGGGGACACAAGTGGTACGTGATAGGAACTGATAACGACTGATAATAGCTGATAAGAGGGGCTAGAAAGCGAGCATCGCCAATTTCGTTTTGTCGTTCATATTGGTACTAGAGCGTCTATACTTACAAGTGTTATGTGGGGCGGGACATTGGTGGTACATGATTGGAAGCGATAGCAACTGATAAGGGCTGATAAGATGCGCAGAACGCAAAAGTCGTCGATTCCGTTACCTGGCTCGCGTTGACACCAGAGCAACCATACTTACAAGTGTTATGTGGGGTGGGACGGGGACATTGTTGGTGGGTGCCAGAAACTGATAACGATTGATAAGGGCTGATAAGGCGCGTCAGAACGCAAAAGTCGTCGATTCCGTTGCCTGGCTCGCGTTGACACCAGAGCAACCATACTTACAAGTGTTATGTGGGGTGGGACGGGGACATTGTTGGTGGGTGCCAGAAACTGATAACGATTGATAAGGGCTGATAAGGCGCGTCAGAACGCAAAAGTCGTCGGTTCCGTTGCCTGGCTCGCGTTGACACCAGAGCAACCATACTTACAAGTGTTATGTGGGGTGGGACGGGGACATTGTTGGTGGGTGCCAGAAACTGATAACGATTGATAAGGGCTGATAAGGCGCGTCAGAACGCAAAAGTCGTCGGTTCCGTTGCCTGGCTCACGTTGACACCAGAGCAACCATACTTACAAGTGTTATGTGGGGTGGGACGGGGACATTGTTGGTGGGTGCCAGAAACTGATAACGATTGATAAGG